CCCCCCCCCCCCCCCATTATACATTCTGATGTTTGGATTTTTTTATTGTTTTTAAAGAAATCTGAAAGCTGTTGTAAAATGCATTTATGGAAATCCTGAGTAGAATCCCTTTAATAAAAGCAGTGTATTCCATATGACTTCAGATATTACCGAGGTGCTGTGGGGGCCCTTCTTGTCTACGACATTGCAAAACATCTGACTTATGAAAATGTGGAGCGTTGGCTAAAAGAATTGCGGGATCATGCAGACAACAACATTGTCATCATGCTGGTGGGAAATAAGAGCGACCTGCGCCATCTGAGAGCTGTGCCCACTGATGAGGCCCGGGCTTTTGCAGGTTTGTGGACTATATATAATTTATCTTCTTAGGTAGTGCTTTTTAACTTCTGCATGCTAGCATGTTGTAGACTCTGCTCTGCCTTTTCTGGCAAGGGCACTCTTTCCGTTGATGTTTTATTCCAAAGGGTCATATACAAAAACACTGGAATGGAAAAATGTTTGAAGGTTGACTCATGAAGGCTTTGGTTTCATAACAAAAAAGAAAAAAACAGTTGCGGTATGGTTTCTTGACAGTCATAATGCTAGTACCATATTTTCTCACGAAAATGTGCTCCAGAATAAGATATATACATTTTGTTTTTGAAAGGCAGAATGAAGAAGAAACTTTCCTTGAAGTAACTGGGCACATCTACAGCTGCAATTAATGCAAAGCAATAAATTCTGGAGTGTATTGCTCCGGAGTTTATTGCTCCTGGGTAGGGGTGCACCAATAGATCGACTGGCTATCAGATTGGCACCGATTTTTAAAAGGAGAAATGATGTTATCGGCTATTGGTTTTTTTTATGGTCGCTGTAGCCAATAATTATGGCCGTATGCTCAGAGTACCGTGGCAAGCATCCTAGTGACCCGCTGCCGGCTGGAGCCTGTGGCAGACTACAGGTCCCGGTGAGCAGCAGAAGGGGGGAGAGGGTGCTGGGGAGCAGTCAGTGTGCCGCGCTCAGCATCAAAGGGACCGTTGCCAGCTTCTGCTGCCTCTGCCATAGCACCACCATGTGTGCAGCAGGGACCTGAGCGCTGGGGCTGATGTGGAGATGTTAGGCTGTGCACAGGTGAGGTAAGGTGCCACGCAAGGGACATTTTACTCCTCCGGGCACCAGGTGTATTTGCAAAAGTGACTTCTCCCCGGTAGCTGTGGGAGCTCGGCTACAAGGGCCCCGCTGGTGCTGAGGCAGTGGCATGCTTTGGGGCTCCAAACGTACCCAGCACCACTGTCTGCACGTGGGTCCGCCCCACCTGCCCAGAATGGCAGCATGGGCTGCATGGGAAGCGGGGCTGCAGGGTGGGGGCAACATGCATGACCACTGCCTTCATCAAAGGTGAGAGCACGCAGAAGGCATGTGTGTGTTAAATGCAAAACAGTAGAGGTGCACCAATACATTGGTCCATATCGTATCGGCACGGATAAAAAGGAAAATGAACGTTTATTGGCAGTTGGCTCTTTTTGGCTGATTAGTGTCACTGACAAATGCCGTGTGCATGTGTGCTGCAGCAACATGCACGCACCTGGGAGTGCAGCCTGGTAGCTTGGAGAGCAGTGTCTAGCTGATAAGTCTGTGGAGGAAGGGGCAGATTGAGGCCCCTGCGGTGAGGGTGGGAGTTCCAAACTGGGGCAGACGCTGCCGGGGTGGGGCACGGGACAGAGCTGTGGTCCCTCCAGGGTGTGGGGAGGGGAGCGGTGGCTCCCACCACTGCGCGCATCCCCGGTGGGGCATGTACACAGATCGGGGGAAGAGAACAAGACAAGGGTGGGCGACTGCTGCAGGCTGGAGCTGTGCTGTGCTGGGCTCGGCTCTTCCTGGCAGCTGCACTTGGGTGGGGCAGGTGGCAGTGTGGGGAGGGAGGACTATGGCGAGTTTTGGAGTGGCTCAAGGCCCCCCCCCCTCCCCGGGCCTGCTCTCACCCCACACAGATCTGGGGGGCACATGCCCCATGCCTCCCCCAGGGGTGTGTGCAGCAGTGGGAGCCGCACACAGCACCCCCCACCCCCAGCCCGACAAGCTGTGGCTTCATCCTATGCCCCACCCTACGTTGTCTGTTCAGTGTTTGCCCTTACCCCAGCCCTGCTCCCTCCCTCACCTCGGGGGGGCCTCGATCTCCCTCCCCCATGCCCCTTCACCCCAACACTTACCAACTAGATGCTGCTCTCCAAGCTGCATATCGGCAATTGGATCTGTATCGGCCGATATGGCTGGTCAGTAATCGACTATCTGTATAGCTATACTGAAGCGCCCATGTGCCCCAGCCAGCCGGGGCAGCGTCTACACATGTGCCTAAATAATTTGAGTTCTTTCACCTTTTTTCTTATAAATCATGCTTTCCAGGCCTCTAATCGTTTCTGTTGATCTGCACTGGGCTCTTTCCAATTTCACTACATCTCTCTTGACCTCCACAAGTTCTCAAAGAGGATAGCCAGTGGCTCTGCAATTCCCTCATTGCTTTGATACCCTAGGGTGTATCCCATCTGCCCTTGTACACTTAACTGCTTAGCTTCCCTAGGTAATCCCTAATTTCTGTTCTTCCACTGCTCTAGGCAGTAAGCCAGATCCGGTCCCTAGTGCTTTGTCATCCAACCTGCAGGGCTCCCCCTGGTTCTGTGGAGAGCCTTGCAGGCTGTGGTCTTGCGTGGGGACTGGTCCTGGTGCATGGGGCCCCCCTCTGAACCTGCAGACCGGCCTAGTGCCGTTCATCTGGCTCACACAGCCACAACTGAGCGCTGCAGGCTGGTTGTCTCTTTCCCCATCTTTGCTGCCAACTGCTCTCACCTTCTGGTGGTTAAATGTATTCATGAAGACTGAGGTAAAAAAGCATTAAAAACTTAAGCCTTCTCTGCAACATCTGTAACTAGGCTGCCTTCTGCATCCTGTAAAGGACTTACGGTTTTTTTAGTCTCCCTTGTACTCTTTGACATACTTGTAGAATCCTTTTTAATTGCTTCTTATGTCCTTTGCCAGTTAGATCTCAAATTTGTGCCTTTGGCTTTCCTATATTTTCTTCTGTGCACTACTCTTTCCTAGTACTATGACCAAGTTTTTCCCTTTGTAAGGTTTCTTTTTGAGTTTTAGACTTGCCTCCCAGGGGACTTGCCCCACAGTTCCCCAAGGTTGTTAAAATCTGCTTTTTTTGAAGTCCAGTGGCTTTATTCTGCTGCTCTCCTTCCTTCCTCTCCTTAAGTTCTTGAAATCTCTCATTTTGCGAACACAGTCAACCAAATTATCTTCTACCTCTGCATTCCCAACTGGTTCTTCTCTATTTGTGGCCAGCAAGTTGCGAGAAGTTTCCCCCATAATTGGTCTGTCTACCATCTGTATCAAAAAGTTCTCTTTTTCATTTTCCAAGAATTTGCTGGACTGCTTGAGCACTGCTATGTTCCCCCCTCCCCCCCCCAGCAGATGTCCCGATAATTAAAATCTGCCATGTGCCACATCTGTTTGGAAATTTCCATCAGGTGCTTAAAGAAGGCTTTGTCCACCCCTTCCTACTGGTATGATGGTATATACTTATCCCTGTTATGCACTTTTAAAAAAACTTAATTTAGTTAATCTTAAATTTTTAAGCTTAAAATTAAATGTACAACCTCTAGAAATCCTTTGGGAACTTTATACTCGCTTGCCTAAAAATGTTAAAAATATGTATTTGTCTTTATACCAGTACTCTCTATTAGTGTAAATCCCCTGAGCTGAAGGTTGTAAGTTGGTGGATAGATCTAAATTTTCTAGAAATACTGAACCATTTCAATATAAGCCCCTCTATAACGGAGTCAGAAACTTTGGGTATGAAGTCCAGTATTCTGTGTTTTGCTCTCCCGCTTGCTACCATTTTCATTTAATCTACATGAGATATTTAAACATTGAGTGCAGTGGGAGCCAACATTTTTAAGCTGGCATGCCACAAGGTAAGCCTCACAGACTCAATGGGCGCATCCAGACGAGCGCGCTCATGCCTCTTGCTCCATCTCAGACCCCTTTGAGACGGGGCAAGAGGCACATGTGGGAATGAAAAAATGTTCCCCGTGCTGCAAACAACAACCCCCCCC